TGAGTCTGGTCATTATGATATCTTCCTTTTTATTCTTGTCTTTATTTTTCTCTTCTCTTTTTCTTTCCTTTTCTTTTCCTCTTCTTTCTCTTTCCCTCCCTCTCCCCTCTTTCTTTTCTCTTATTACCGTCAGGGGAGGGGCATTTTCCCCCTGCCCCCTCCCCGCGCCTGTTACGACACTGGCACACGCCAATCATCCCCCCCCCCAATGAAAAATATTTTTCTACGCCACTGTTTAGGCGTGTAATGTGTAGTTTACTCTTTCCATAACAAAATGGCACTATTAACAGTGTAAGTGCAACATAGAGCTATCATATTTCATAATAACAATAATAATGAATATGTGCTGTTTTTTACACAGGTTTGTGCTTCGCCGATGTAATTAACAGTGTCCCTTTAATGCAGGGGGCGCCATTTTTCTTCACTTACATTAGAGGAGGCGAGTTTATAGCTGTAAATGTTGGATGGAGTTATATCCTGTGTCACGTGACAATGTCTGCCTTATCCGCACGCGCATTAGCCGAACATGTTGACTGCATAATAGGAGGAAAATTGCGATACATATTTACGTCAATATTTCCCGCAGTTTCTGTTGATGACTACTCAAATTGCCTTGCACTTGCAGTAGTGATTGTTGCCATTGGGTATGTTGCCATAGGAGCAAAGCGCACTAATGTATCGCACTACTCATCTGATGTCACTGCTATTTTCGCCTTACTGCTAATAGTTGCGGTTGGCTACATAAAAGGAGATGGGGACAATTATTCCAAAGGAGTCCCCTTTCTCAACCATGGACAAGAAGGGGTAAGATTAATAGCCTAAAGTTTAATTTGAATTTAAATCATTAATATCACTGTGTGTGATAATGAATGATGGGGACGTGGTGGTGAAGATGATGTCATCATCATCATCATCGTGTTAAAGCCCCATTCCCGGCAAAATTTCAGTTGTAAGAAAAATCTGAATAAAAATCTGATCTGATCATGAAAAAATGTAAAATAAGACTGAAATTGATCTTTTTTTCCACACAAAAAAAAATAAACGGGGATGAAATTTTATGTTTGATTTTGCAATAGGTCTGCGAAGAAATATTGACACTTTTGAAATATAATATTTCATTGGAATTATTTCTAATTTCTTTTAAAAAAAAAGGATTCTTACTGAGATTTTGACAATTGAAAAAAAAACATATCTCCCGCCTACTCGATCGATCGCAGTGCGTTAGATGGGAAATACAAAAACTAATCTCAAATTAATTCTCATTTGCCTAGTAGCGAAGAAGTCGTCGAAAAAATTATAATCTCCTATAAGAAATAGTCTTTTTCTCATTTTTTTTTTTGCGTAAAACTAAAATTTATTGGTTTATAATAATTAGAGTAATGCATATGCATTTTCCAAACAAAAAAAAAATCTTTTTTTAGTGAAATTTTGCTGGGAATGGGGATTTAATTAATCAGGATGGATATGACGATTGTGCTGGGTAATTATAATGTTAACAGAATATTAACCGTTACCATTTTATTATACGAAATTAATATTATTATTATTATCATTATTATTCATATTATTACTAGGCCTATTACTGTATTACTATTATTATTATACTAACATTATAATTTTCCTTATTATCAGTATTATTACAGAACTTTAGTAACAAAACATTCCTTCCGTACCATTTGTGTTTGTTTCATATATGTAAAGGTAGCCGCCGTATTATTATTATTATTATTATTATTATTATTATTATTATTATTATTATTATTAATATTATCATCCTTATTTTTTTCATTATCATTACAGAACTTCCGTAACAAAACATTCCTTCCGTACCATTTGTGTTTGTTTCAGGTGTCTAAGGTAGCTGCCGTGTGTTTCTATCTATTTACTGGATTTGAGGCTATAACAACTATCATACGTACGCCATACAAGCGCATGATTCAGAAACAAGTCACATCATTTATGGCAAGCTCTCTATTTAATTTTGTAGCATTTAATTTAGCTGCAATATCTATGCTTTTTATAGTTTCCTCGGACAAGATGCACAATAATTGCTCTTTTGGCAGTTTTGGATTTGACGGACAGCGATGGTTGGAGATTTTTGTTAATTTATTATCTTTACCAGCACTTGGCGTTGTCATGGCAACTAATTTATTTATTGCGGTTCATTCAGTTTACTTGATGTCAATAGAGGGAATAATACCG